AAAACTTGCAGAATTTCGATTCTTTTCAAGCAGACAGCAAAAGATGGCTGTTATTGGGTCTTGCTTGCACTGGGCGAAGGCGTATACCATGTTGATGGGGTCAGAGGTGGGTTTTCTATTCACATTAAAGATTGAGTTCGTAAAATGTGGCCTCCCTGATGAATACTTTGATAGTGTCCTCGGCAACTTCTCTGCAATGTTTGGGGGCATGTGGGCCAATTGGGTCAAGTCTTTGACCGGATGGGAAGAACCTGCTTGAGGGGTCTTGTAGAAAGACTACGAACTCTGGAGGCCAAGGTCGACAAAAAACGGGGGGCCTTGGTCGATTCTTTTCTCTTTTTCTTTTTTTTTCTTTCTCCTTTTCTTTTCTTTTTTCCTCTTTTTTCTGTTTTCCTTCGTAACTCTTTTCCTGGAACGATTATTGGGGTTGAATTTGCAACCGATTGGCCGAGTGACACGCGGCTGCTCGGGAAGTGGCAGTTCCTTTAGGACAGGTCTTGGTCCTTAAAGCCGCGATGATTTTGGGAATCCGTACCCTGGTTTTCTGAACCTGTTAGGCTTTCCAGTTACTTACTCTTGATTTCCCCGACCTTCTGGAATCTTCGTTCCCTTTCTTCTGCGGTCTCCCTTACAGGACCTCATCTCTTCAGGTTACGCCCCTTTTTCCCCATTTTCTTTTCTGTTTTCCAAACTTGGCTCGCATTATATCCGATTTCGTTTTCCTTTTTAACTCAGTTAGCTAGCTCTTCTAAACTTAGGCTGTGTCTGGTGTTTTTTTCCGACGGTACTTAACTGGATCTTGCTATTTGTCTAGTCCCTCCCTTCTGCGACTTTGAAACACAAGACCCCTGAAGATTCTGGTTTTGAGGCGTAGGGTCGCTGCACCAGTCCTTTACGTCTATCTTCATAATGTTGTTTGGCGGTACTTCGTTAAAAATTTTACGGCCAATTGGTCGTGTTTCGGGATTCCCGGTGTCTATTTCTCTCTTCCTGTGAACCTCTCTCTCTCTCTCTCTCTCTATTGTGAGGACTTGTTCTTTGACTATCACATGATTGTGCTTGCTATAAAAGACTTTGTCGCTCCAGAATCGTAACAGAACAAGAGATAGGTTGACAGTGTTATGGGTGACCCGACACAGCTGGGAGACTCCTCATGGTACTCAGTCGCCGTGACAAGCAACCGCCCTTTCTCCCCCTTCCCACCCTCCCACCCTCTTCCCCGGACGACTTCGACAGCATGTTACTAATATTTGCCTTGACCCTCTATTTCCTCCTTCCTTCTACCTGCTACTTGTTCTTCCTGTTATTATCCTTTTTACCGTTTTTTTCCCTTTACCCCTTCCGAAACCATCACCCTTACCAATCTGTTCACTGTTGCCACTTGTTCCAAGTCCCCTAATCTTCTCTGTTTACTTACGCTTACAAGAGCACCTTTTACTCCAACGGGGATTCCATCACAATAATATGTAGGAGGCGTAGTGATGGTATGGCCCCCCAGCGAGCCCCACTTAAGACTTGAGACTTACTCGACCATTACCCAACCATAACCCTTTTCCCCTCGCCCGGACCCGTTTCCCGCAGGAAATCCCCAAAGGTTAATCCATTCATCTGTGTGTCCGGCATAACCATTGCTGGAAAGTGACACCAAGTTTTCCCGAAAACCGTATTGGTTCGGGGTATATCCGGCCCAACCCTCCCTCGTTCACTATCAAAATATGCCTGAATTGCCATGCTTAGATTTTCTTTTGCATAGGCTTTCGTCTTGGGGGTGGAGAAGCTCTCTTCCCAATGCTCCTTGTTCCAGACACAGAAAAAATGCCCCATAAAATGGCTGCCCGCACTGCTTCATCAGCCCTCTTGCTCCCGGAAATTCTGCTTGCCTGTACCAATGGTCCCAACAATACCCTCGCCTTCCCTTCTTCATCCCCTCTTGCTTTTTCAGCGGGATTTACCTTCCAGAGGCCTCTGCTATCCATCAGTCCCACAATGCCCGCTGCCTAGCGCAGGTAATGAAGAGGTGAGGAAGGTCCTCTCTGTAATGAGCCCAGTCACATTGAGAATCCAATCAGTGTTGTGATACAAGTCTGAACCTACGGACAAAATAATGTCTCTAAAATCGATTATACGTCCATGCCCAGCAAATGTGCACTTTCCAAGAGCATCGTAACTTCAGAGAAGAGAATGAGGTGATGTGGAGAAGAGACAGTGAGGAGGAAAAGAAGAAGAGTCCCCATCAATCATGCATGAAGTCTCTTATTATCCCCCCTGTCACCAACTCAGCAATTCAGTCTCTCTCTGACGTTCTCTAACAGATACAGTGTGCATGTCACAGCCGGGCACCCATCCTCCATCCACATCAGCAGCCAGTCAGGGAGTATGGCACAGGTCTTCCTCACCTTCGTGGAGACAACCAGCAGATCACATACCACATCGCCAGGTAAGTCCAGGTAAGCTTCCCCTCAAACCCTCTCCAGTCTCACAGTCTTGATCCTCCTCCTCGCCCAACCTCAACACCAATGTCTATAGCTATGGCGGCAATGGCCGCTCCAACATAATCTCCCCTGATAATGGCGCCCACCCAGCAGCACTGGCACCAGCATAAACTCCAGCAGCCTTGCAACATTGTACTAACATCAAGCCAGCGCAAGGCAGAATAATCTCCACAGTGGCTGGGTCAACTCTATATAGTGTTGACTCGCGTTGACCAGCCTCCAGTCTCCTTGGGTCGACGGCCCAGATGATCCCAAAACCAATGGCCTGGATGCGGCGCAGTCCCAGCTTTCCCTCGTGTCCCACTTGGACTGGAATCTTCTGGATTCCTGCAGACAACCACTGATGTGCACCTGATCGACGGCTGTAGCTGACCAGCGGACTTTGACTTTGGGCCTGGAATCCTGTGCTTGGGTCGACTCTTGATTTTCCAAGAGTCAACTGTCGCACGTTGGGGTACTGGACACAGCTTTTGACTCAGATCTTGGTACCCCTTGACCCTAGGCAGCTTCTCAGACATTTCTCAGGCTAGGGACGTGACTTTTGACCCCTATTTCTGGCCTTTGACCAAAAGTGACGACCCTTGTGCCAATCTGAACGGGGTTTATTACAAGTCTCTTGACATAGTGGACAATTGCGTTGGTATAGCCGCTTTTAGTAGATAGCCACTCGGCCGACGGGACTGCCAAATTGACAATTAGCCACAACAAGCCTGCCTGTCTCTGATCCGGAAGACCCTTCCAGATTTTAAAGAACTCAGCCCAAGCCTTGGAGTCAAAAGACCCGATCTGCTTGGTCGATACCCAGTTTTGTTTTCTCCACCATTTCGCTTCTCATGTCGTAGGGGTACAACTGTGCTCGATAGATACCCTTAGTTGTCAATTGGTGGAACGGCCTTCTTTTTCTCAGGCTCTGTTGTGGGAGGCAGACCCAGTTGCGTGGGTCGTAGGATAGGTCCTGTGCCTGTGTGTTGAGTTTAAAGTTTAAACGGCCTCAGTGAGACCGGCCTCTGCCTCCCCTTGTCCTTTACCTGCAGATTCATAAGTCATGACTTTAGATACAATGAAATGCTATCAAAGGGTGATGTAAACATGTAGTTCCCCTTTCAAAATATTACTGTTCAAACTGCAAAGGCGAGCAGATACGGAGACCAGCAGGATGGTGTATCAGTGTCATTCATGGAGGGTCCAACTTGTTATCAGTTTACGAGCGACAGTGCAAGAATCATTGTCCTTTAAGGTTCTTTCATTTTTAGGACGACAGGAACCAGTCTAATTCCAAAACATTCATTCCCCTCTAAAATTGTGTTGGATCTATGTGCGGCCCTGATTTCCAAGATGAAGTAAACGTAAACAACAAAGTATGTAACCGTATTGTCACTGAGGCAGCTCGCTTCTGTCACCATAGAGCTCAACTACACAACCTCCTGAAATTTGGGGAAGCCCCTGCGTATGGATGGCCAGATTGTCCATGTGACGAACAAGCAGCGAAGCAGCGGTGATGTTGCAACCACAGCTGATAATTTGAGGCCGCACCAGTGAATGGAAAAGAAATCTGTGACAGCCAGATTGCCTATCCAACGGACCAACTGATGTGAGGCCAGCAGGCACAAAAAGTGGTGGTGGTTCGAGCTCAGCCATGCCAGATCTCCACAGACTCATACATACATATTATCGAGGTCCTTGTTTATATATTGACACAAGTTCAGCAAAGCTCAACGAGTTCAGTGTTTAAATCTTGCACATGTTTCAGGACTTTACCAGACCAAGCCCTAAAGATGTTCACCCTGAGAGGTCAGTCAGTGGTTGGCTACCAACAACGAACGAGACAGCAAGTTGGCCTGGATAAGGAATGAATTAGGGGAACGTAGCAGATACGAGATGTCCCCCGCCACAAAACCTTTAGGCTGTTTAACCCCCAAGCAAGCTGGAGTTGTTCTAAGCCCCTTCAGCCCGGCGGAATGATTCTTAGCGGCCCAACCTGAAGATCAGGCCGCTTTTTCTAGTAAAGATAAGCCAGGGTTTCGTAGTTGAACTGGCTTGTAGTTTTCTTCAATACTCTGCGCCTCACTAACTCCTCCCATTGACACCGCGGGAGGCCGGACTGGGAACTACACCTGCCTACTGGGGTAAAACAACCATGAAAATTTTCGAGGGGGGAGGCGGGGGGTTGAATGACCTATAGCTCACAGCCTCAGAAAGGCGTTCAACTCTTTTCTTCCAGAAAATATTTCCCCCACTCCCTCCCCCCTTCTCCCCACCCATAGGGCACAAAACAAAATCATTGCAAACTTGAATGCTCTTAGCTCACAGCCTCAGAAGGGCATTAGACGCTTTTCTTCCCAAAAATATTTCGCCCACCACCCATCCCTCCCCCCTTCCCCCTTGCACCTTTCCCCTTTCCACGATAAAAAAAAATAATTTTTTTTGGCATTTCACCAAAATTCTCCTGGAGGCAAAGAGTGTTGAAGTTATTATTTTCTAGGGAGTTAGGACGTCCGGATGACATACCGCTACATTGAAAACCATTCCTGGTTTGACTGTGCGCTCATTTTTTGGACTCAGTGCAAGCGCAGACTCCCTGAACTCTATACCTGCACCGTTGCATACCCACATCCAGAAACACAACGGGAGTGTGAGTGCTTTTTAAAATCAGGTCATGGAAAATCCAGAGTGTTGTATGTCAAACAAGCCAGAATGAGATATGCTTTGATACGTATGTGAACCTGCAAAACAAGCAACAATCCGCAAAGATCCATACAGCTCGTAACTCTGACGTTGCAATCAGACTCACTTTCTTCTTCACTTCGCATACATGCAAACAGATGGCAATTCACACTGGCGCCAAGCGCCCACTCAAAGCTCAGAGATATTGAAACCGAGAACACAGTTCAGATGCAAACTCACTTCAACAGGCTATGGCGCATCAGTGCCTGTACATCCAACTCTCGTCACTGTGTCCAACACCACTGTTCGCACACACTCATCTCTGGATCACCCTGAATACCCCACACACACTCACTGTATCACACACGCGTACACACACACTAACACCTAACGCTAGCTATGGCGGCTATGGTTGCCGGCTACTACTAACTATGGCACACTAACTTCTCCAAGCCCACTTTGACCTCGGCCATCTGCAGACCACCTCGCACAAGACGCTCGGGCAGTGCTTCCGCATGGCTCACACAGGAATGAATGAATGGCTGGACGCTGCCTCTTGATTTATACTTCTGTAAGTCGCTGGTCTGACTTTTCCACCGGGCCCATGGTGTACACAGTCCCTCATGGTACTTGCTGACTGTACAAAGTGAGACGGGTACTTGCTGACTAAGCGAAGTTGGACTCACCACTTGCCCACTTGCCTCTGGCCTGCTGTGTATAGCGTGAAAAACTTGAAAGGCCACTTCCGGACCTTCCGGAAGTTTGCGGACTTGGCCTTTCAGGACTGTAGCAGCTACGACCTTGACCTTTCAGAACTACAACAACTATAACCCCTATGCAGGTGTGACCCTACTTTGACAGGTCTAAGGTTCAAGACCCAACAACGACTCAGACCTACGACAGACAACTTTCAACTACTAACACACAGGTCACAGGTCCAAGACTCACAGGGTCGACTTGATACTGTACACAGGCAAGGTAAGGTAAGGTGAGGTCTGGGGATCGAGCCCTGGGATCCGCGTCTGGGTCTGCAATAGGTGAAGACCGTTTCAACGTCGTTGTCGATTATCAATGAAGGGGTGGAAAGTCTCACGACTCAGAATAACGATTCAACACTGGATCAGAGGGCGGCAGCTGGATCCTTGACATGTTGACAAGACCATAAGGAATGACTCCAAGCTACTGTGAAGTAGGAAATAGGGCCAGGGCATCTGGCAAGCCTGCAGGACAATGGTATAGCAAGGGCACAGAGGGTAATAGATGGGGGCATCGAGAGAGATTAGGAAGGATTGGAAGGGATTCTCATCCGAGGAAGTTGCAAGCAGATACTTTATTGTGCTAAATCAGTATTCTCTAGAACCATTTTCCCTGAGTTGAGTCGAGAGAGATAAGGAAGGATTGGAAGGGATTCTGATCATAAAAAATTGCAAGCGGATAGTTTTTATTGTGCTAATTTAGTATTCTCTAGAAACCAATTTCCCTGAGTTGAGTCTAAAACCCAGGCTGGCTCTAGTTGCTTATGTGTTAATCTGCTCTCCGGCCATGAAACATGAGAGCCAGCGTCCCCTGCTAAGCTAGTAGTATATAGGTAGGTAGTGGGAGGAATATTGAGAGAAGAATATAGGTTAGTGGGAAAAAAAAAAAGATGGAAAAATGAGAGCAAATACTTCATGTATGTACGCCTGCCGACATTTCACAATAGCTCAGCGTCATTAACACCACAGCACACAGATCAAGACCACATGTCGACAACGTGCACTCCAGGTGTGAATATGTTCGTTCACAAGGCTTATTGCCCTCAGCATAATTATTTCAAGTCACCTCTGGAAGAAATCTCTGAAGCCGTAATTTCCCTTTCCAACTATTCCCAAGAGAAGATGTCCTGTCCATCCATCCAAAACATACTTCAGCGCCCAGCAACCTCAGTGCCACATATTTTTATGAGGGGCAGAAAATACAATGTAAGCCTTGTTTGGACATCCACCCAAGCCTCTCCACTTCCGTATTATACCACATTTTGTCTAATCGTTCAGTGACTGAAGTAGCCAGCGAAGCATAGGCGACGGGGACAGGGCCTCATTTCCCATTCCAGGGCCTCAATTGTTTTGCTTCCTCAACTTTATCCCAACGTTAACAGTGACTCCCCCCACAAAACAGCATGGCCATACCGACCATCATTTGCTTACAATTTCACATTCCTGACAAGAAACACACAAGTACAGGATGCACTGAACAGTTAATCAGAAGCCTATCTCATCTAAAAATGAGAAAAAACACCGAGCACAAGCTGAAATGAGGCTCACCGATTCCAGTTCCTGCGTTCCTTGTCAAATATGGCACCAGTTCAGGGGCCTTCTTGTTGAACACAGCAAGTGCAGCCTGCAAACAAACAAGACGAATATCGAGAAGCGGTTAACAGAGCCCTAAATTTTCAGGGTTTTTTCAGGGTCATTATAACAAAGGTCCAACATTTTTTAAGCCAGACTTGTCACCAGTCCATAGAGGGGATACCAAATAAACCAACAGCAAAGAACAAAAGTAAAAAAAATGGATCAAAAGGACCTTAGACCCCAAGGCAAAAGTGTGTTTCATACAAAATTCGCTCTTTTCAGTTTTCAGAATTTTCACGATTTTCAGGGCTGGCCAAAACAGTCATCTCCAAGACTCCAACAAACACCAAACTCAGCACACGCAGACCTTGACCAAAAATAAAACCGGGCAAAAAAAAAAAAAGCTGAAAAAAATCATCCCCAAAAATTTTCACGATCCCTGGTCTGCGGGTTACCACCCGCCCGCTTGCTGTATTTGTTCTTTTTTTTTGTTTTGCGATTTTTATGTTTAATTTTACTTTGTTATTGTTCTTCTTCCACTTCGACCTCAACCTCTCCTCCTCCTTCATCATCATCAACCACCCCATCCTCCGGCAACCCCACCCCACCCCACCTCCTTCCACTTCAACCCCCCCACATTCCACACCTGTCATCACACACTTCTCCCTCCCTCCTCACCAACACATCTCCGCTCTCCTCCTCCTTCGTCATCATCAACCACCCCATCCTCCAGCAACCCCACCCCACACCCCCTCCTTCCACTTCAACCCCCCCACATTCCACACCTGTCATCACACACTTCTCCTCCCTCCCTCCTCACCAACACATCTCCGCTCCCCTTCTATCCATCTCAACCATCACATCCATCCCGCTCACATACGCACAAGTCAAAAGAATCCCCTAAGCGTCATCCTCGATGCTTCTCCTTGCCTTCCCACAGCCTCCCCCCAACAACCTTATCCCTACCAACCCCATAGATGACCACACCCGCATTGTGTCCGCAACCACATCTTCTGACTTCAACACCCTCGCTCGCCGTGTTCCCCAAACGGAATACCTTCCCTCCTCCCTCTGCCTCCAAGACATCTCCACCTTCTTCGGACAATCCAATGACGACGTTCTCCTCTTTCTCGCCAAATTACAACAAGCTTTCGAACTCCACAATGTCCCCCTTCTCCTCTGGCTTTCCATTGCCATCAACAAACTCGCCGGCACCGCCCATCGCTGGTGGATCACCGAATCCGCCAACCGGCACTCTCTCGTCTTCCTCCTCTCTCCTTTCTCGAGTGGGCCTCCCTCCTCTCCGCCACCTTCCGCCCGCAAAAGACAATCGACGACTACGTCGACCAGGTTTGCAGGCTTTGCCAAAACGGCCCCACCAACCGCTCCGTCCAATATGTCTGTACCCTCTGCCAAAGCATTCCCCATGACCAGATCAGCGACAATGTCTTCAATTCCCGCTTCAAGCGGGTCTGCCGAAGGACATCGCCTCCACCCTCGCCTACGAGCCACCCATATCCTTTACTGACCTACTCACCCATGACCTTCAACACAATCGCCTTCTTTGTCCCGTTTGCGGTTCCACCACCTCCCGTCCACGCTTCTTCCACAACATCTACGCCGATGAAGCCACCGTAGCGTCTCCCTTCGATGACGAATTCACAGCCCCTACCGTTGAGCCCGACACCCTTTCCGGCTCCTCCGCCCTGGCGTCCCTCAGCTCCTAGGAACTCAACAGCATCTAGTTCTTGCGTATTCAACACAAGGACGGCATGGCTCCACCATCTTCCTCCACCCGACCCCGCCGTCTCACAAAACTCACCACCGAGGAACGCACCTACCTGCAAGACAACAATGGCTGCTTCCATTGCCGACAGCTTGGACACCAGCAAGCAAACTGCCCCAACGCCTGCCCATTCACTTGCCACGTGAACAAACCTGCGACATCCACTGCTTTGGCTGCTGTCTGACCCGGTCCCTCCTCAACGTGAACTTTGTACCCTTGATCATGGAGTCCACACAATTCCACCGGTCGACCCCAGGCGTCGCAGTCTACTCCGCCTGCCCACCTCCTGACGATGTCCCCTACCCCGTCGAACGAGATCTTCACCGCCTCGTGCTTTTCCACACACCTCCCCAACCCTTCCTCTGTCTCCTTTTCCAATGTTATTACGGAACAAGCACAACTCAATCGGCCTGTTAAGTTGGGTCTCGCACAACACCGCCTCAACACCATGATCTCTTCCGCCTAAGTTGACTCCTCCCGCTTCCAACTCAAATTCATCGCCGCATCCCTAGGTGCGTCTACAATCTAGTTCCGAGCTCTCCTTGACATCGAAGTGCCCGGTAACTTCATCACCGACGATTGCGCCCGCAAAGTCGGTCTCCCTTCCAACGATTATGACTCCCCGATCACCAATCCACTAGGGGACAACGACACAGCCGTCGTAATAGACCACAATGACTATCGCCTCCCTCCGCAGTCAGGTCTCCTTTAATGTCATGCACTTGATGTGCGATATTGTCTCGGCAACCCATGGCTCAACCGTTTCATGCCCTACGCATTCCATCCCTTCTTTCGCATCACCACACCTACCGGCTCGACCCTTGACATTCCCAACTTTCCTCACCCTACCTCCCAACCTTCCGTCACTCCCCACCAGTTCCTCCACGTGGCACGTCACAACCCCGACTCTACCTATTATTGTCTTGTCCTTGCTTCCAAGACAAACCCGACCAAGCCCCCCCTTCCGACCCCGTTCTTACCTCTATCCTCGAGGAGTTCAAGGACGTTTTTCCTGAGTCCTTGCCCGTCGGACTACCTCTAGATCCTGGCGTCTTTCATACCATTGATCAGGAACCCAGTCACACTCCTCCCTCTTGACCACCGTGCCAGCTCTTTGTTCCCGAGGCCGAAGAAATAAAGTGACAACCCAATGAACTTCTTGAAAAAGGATTCAATAAGCCAAGCTCCTCCCCCTTCAGTACAAGTTGCCTCTTCGTCAAGAAAGGCAGAACCTCTGAATTCCGCATGTGCACAAACTACTGCGACCTCAACCGGATCACGATCATGAACCAGTACCCCTTGCCTCGCATCTCCAAGCTTCTTGATTGCCTCCGTGGAGCCAAGTACTTCACCAGATCCGCATTCGCGAAGACGATACTTGCGCTCTCGCTTTGGGCATTACGAGATCCTTGTGATGCCTTTTGGACCCGCAAATGGCCCAACGACCTTCCAGTCTACTATGAATCACATCTTTTGCGATCTTCTCAAAGTATGTGTCCTCGTCTATCTTGATGATATCCAAGTTTTCAGTCCCACCTTTGAGTCTCACCTTCAGAACATTCGCCAAGTCCTCTCTATCCTCAGAGAACATAAGTTCTACGCCAAGCTCAACAAATGCACTTTTGCTGCGACAAGCGTTGAATACCTCGACCACATTGTATCTGTTGATGGTATCCGCATGGACCCCTCGAAGGTCACCGCGCTTGTCGGATTTCCCCACCTACGACATTGTTGCAGCTCCGTTCCTTCCTCGGTCTTGCCAACTACTACCACCCCTTCATCTGCAATTTCTCCGAAATCTCCTAACCCCTCCACGAGCTCACTCGCAAGAACGAGCCTTTTGCATGGAACGAACATCGTCTAGCTGCCTTCTACCTCCTCAAACAAGTCATTACCACAACCCCTGTAATCAAGATTGCTAACCCCTCTCGACACTTCTATGTTACCACTGACAGCTTAGACTTTGCTATTGGAGCCGTCCTGTCCCAACACTTCCCCCATGACATCCTCGACCCCCCCTCCGTCAAGGATTCCCCGACCTAGTCTGAGGCTCCACCTGGCGAGTATCATATCTCATTTGCGAGCAAGAAGCTCAACCCTGCGGAGATCAACTACTACCGCCTCTTCATCCGCAATTTCTCCGAAATTTCCTAACCCCTCCACGAGCTCACTCGCAAGAACGAGCCTTTTGCATGGAACGAACATCGTCAAGCTGCCTTCGACCTCCTCAAACAAGTCATTACCACAACCCTTGTCCTCAAGATTGATGACCCCTCCCGACACTTCTATGTTACCACTGACACCTCAGACTTTGCTATTGGAGCCGTCCCGTCCCAACACTTCCCCCGTGACATCCTGGAAACCCCCTCCATCAAGGATTCCCTGACCAAGTCTGAGGCTCCACCTGGCGAGTATCATATCGCATTCGCGAGCAAGAAGCTCATCCCTGCGGAGATGAACTATTCCTCCAATGAGAAGGCACTCCTCGTCGTCATCCATGCCCTCAAAGTCGGGCGCCCATACCTCGATGGTCATCACTTCACTATCTGCACCAACAACACCATTGTCTCAAGCATACTCGCCAAGAAAGATATCACACCCCGCCAAGCTCGATGGTTAGACTTTACGCTTTCTTCGAAGGATGGCTGCTTCCAAGCCCACCTCCTGGTTGTGATTGCTTGATCACTTCCTTTCCCACTAAGTGATTGCTTTAGGACCTTCGCGTACGATATGGGTTGTCGCCCAGTTTACATTCACCATCTGTCACACCCCCGACAAAAGCTACCGCGTCGCTGATGCCCTCTCTCGACGACCCGACCACAAGCCCCTTGAGAAAGTCTACGCCGCCATAACTCATGTTCAGCTTCTACCTTCACTCCACCACCGCTATACTTGCGGGCACTCTTCATGCCCCAATTTCTCTACCATCTAGAACAAGCTTCGCGACGTCGACACTGTCCCCGACTACTCCCTCCACGACAACCTCTTGTACATTAACACTAAAAGGCACTCGCCGACTCCTGACGCACGTGGTCTTCGTACCCAACTCTTGGCCGAACACCACGACCACAACACTGCAGGACACCTTGGTTTCCAAAATACATTCGACACCGTTGCTGGTTACTTCTATTGGCCCTCACTCCTCACTGATGTCACAGCATACATCAGATCATGCCCCACTTGTCACACAGTCAACCCCTCAGACCAGGCCAAGCCTGACAAGCTCCAATCATTGCCTATCCCCACCCATAGGTGGCAGTCCATCTCTATGGATTTCGTGTGCGGTCTCCCCGAGACTCACCGCGACTATGATTGCATCTACGCCATTGTCTGCTGCTTGACCAACACGATATGGAAAACCTGTTCAAAGAGTACGACACCACTACATTCCATGTCGAGACCGGTGTCCAGACCGAAAAGATGAACGATACTCTCCAAAGGATCATGCGGAGGTATTGTCATCCACACCAGCACGACTGGGATCAGTTGCTCACTGGCGCCAAGATTACCTACAACAACGTTGTCTGCCCTTCCACTAGCATGTCCCCATACTACCTTGACCTTGGCTACCATCCCCACTTGCCCTCAGATTTCTTCTTACCCTCGCAGCTCAACCCATCCACTCCCTGTCCTTCTCTCAATGAATGGTTGCAACAATGAACTGCCTCCTCAGAGAAGCCACTGACGCCCTTGAGAGAACCCAACAGCAACAAGCCAACAAGACCAACAAACACGGACGAGATATCACATTCCAAGTACGGGACAAAGTCTGGCTCTCCGCCAAACCCCTTGAATCCGAACATGGCTTGTCCAAGAAACTCTCAAACAAGTGGCTCGGTCCATTCCCTGTCATTGAACGAACATCCCCTGTAAATTACAAACTTCAACTACCCCTTGACATGGGCCGTTTTCACCATGTCTTCCATGTCGAGTACTTGAGAGAATACCACGAATCACCTCCACAATTTACCGACCGCCCATATCCTAGATCTCCACCAATCATGCTACCTACCGGGCCAGAATTCGCAGTAGAATCTATCATCGGACAAAGAACAACTCAAGTATCCGATCACCCGGAACCAATCATTGAATACAAAGTCAAATGGACCGGAAACCCAGATGAAGAATCTACATGGGAACCCCTCGATCTCAAGAACGCCATGAAACTTGTTTGTGCCTATGATTGTGTTCAACCTGTATCCTCGCTATATACTACGCAGAACACCCATATACCCTGCATAAACCCTGCCTCATTGCTCTACACACACCCCCTGCACCCAGCAGCCCCCCTGCCCCTCTACCTCTCTCTGTCAGATCTGCTCTTGCCTCCGTCCCCAACCTGTCCTCTGCCACATCCTCTGTCTCTCTCGTCCAAGCCTTACCTGTGGCTCCTGAGCGTCACCGGCGATAAAGGATCTAATGGCAAGCGCACAAGGACGATGGCCTGCTGCAGCACCGTTCGAGGAGATGAAGCAGCTGGTTGGCCGCCATGATGTCCCATTGGCCGGCACCTGGGCTCGCAGACTTCTGGAGCAACACTCTTAAAATGGACATCAGGATCAGTCTGCGACATGCTATCCGGATCGGACTTCATCATCACAGTCATGTACAGGACGCACCCCAGCACTTGGACCTTCATCTATTGGACTGCAACACTACTTCTTTCAAGATGGAACCCTCACTACTACACGCCGCAAGCCTGCTGAAGACTGGTTTATCATCAGCATTCTGTACCTGGACTTCAAGACCTGCTTCAAAAATCTCAGGCAGACCATTTTGCAGAACCTGTGATTTCCCCCCCAACCCCATTCACTTCGAGATCCTCAGAAACCCCAACCCCCGAACACTGCAAAATAATTTTCCTTCTTTATTTTTGCTCACAGAACTCTTTTGCCCAATAGTCCATCAGTAGGACAAACCTGTTCCCCCCTCAGATCATAACCCTGTAGTCCATCAGCAGGATGACCCTGTTCCCCTGCAGTTCCTAACCCCGTAGTTGATTAGTAGGCGAACTCTGTTCCCTCTCAGTAGTTTACCAGTAAGCATACCCCGTAGCTCATCAGTGGGAAAACCCCGTTTTCCCCAGCCTTTGCTACCCACATTATACCCCTCTCCCTTTTTCTTCCTGTTTCCCAGTGATCAGCCCCTTGCTGTCCTTCACAGGATTCAGCATTATTTCCATGACTTTTGGCAGCCAGGACATTGCCTTCAAGAGGGAGGGGATGCCCTGGTACCACTGGCTTGCACAAATGAGAGAGACAAAATGGCTTGACACCTGAGTGAGGACGCCGCCCGGCCAGGCCTGCCCTGCCGGGCTGGGCCCAGCCGGTAGGGCCTGGGGGGGCCGCCCGGGTAAACCGGGCAGGACAAAAAACCGCCCAGACTTTTTTACTTATTTTTTTGAAACCGGGGTCATTCTGCGCTCAGCAAGAGGACCCCGAATCTGCAATAAAATTTTGGTTTTGGTGGGGGGATGGGGGGG